TAACTTATTACAAGGTTAGTCATTTCAAGATTTTGTATGAACTGCTTATCTTGTGTTTGAATTTCTGATTTGAGGGAGTCTTGGTAAAATTCAGTGGATGCTTAAAGTAAGAATTTTTTATCTTGTAGCTATAGCTGTAGGGTGGCTGTTAATATGATTTACAATGGAAAAATAGTTTTATGAATTCTCGCTGTGATTGCCACGAACGTATGAAAATTTACGAATGCGGTTGACTATGCATTTTGTTTAAAATTCTCATTTCACTGGAGAGAAATGTTTAACTAAGGGTTTAAAGTTAGCTTGAGATAAGTAGAAAGCTGACTCAATTGAGCTATATTGTAACGATTTTGACTTGAAAAATACCCACTGAATCTTGATGACAGAAAAATGTGTGCAGCTGCTTTGTAATACGATTGTCAAGTGGATTTTATGTTTACTAGAAGAAAATTGATCAGACAGGTTGGAGAACGTACCAAAGGCCAGAAGATAAATCAGGTGGGCACGGTGTTGGTTGGAGCCCGATTATACCTTATGCATTTTCTGTGCCTCAAGACTGGGATGAGGTGACAAAATGAATCTTCAAATTCATGAGTTAAAAATCTGCATTCTATCACTCTTCTCTACTATTTTTGCATAGCATCCTTTTAAATATGCAATCCTCAAACATTTTTGTTGGGGTCTCATTATGGCTAAGTTTTATTTTGTTCCACAGGTTCCTGTGTCCATTGCCGACCTTGGAGGCACTGAGATTGATTTGAGATTTGCAAGTCCTAAAGAGGGACGCCTTTTTGTGATTGTAGCTCCTGTTCTAAGATTTGCGGATAGTTAGTTTCTGTTCACATAATGTTTTTAATGCTTAATTTTAATACTCATCCATAATAACTAGTAGTATAGCAATAATTTTTCAGAGATGACTTCACATGACGAAGCTTGTCGGAGATTTGAAATCATCTTGGACGTTTTGGCATCGCTAACAAAAAACTATTTAGAAACTACCCCTCCTATCAAGTTAAACTTTTAAATTCAAGATGGAACCATTTCTTAAAATTAAAAACTCCTCTTGGTTCTTTTTTGTTTCCCAACTAATCTTAAGCTCATGGGTGGTTCCTGTATCCATCCCTTATTTTTCTTTTACTATAACAAAGAGATATTCCTCACATGTAATTTGCAAAAATTAATAACTTCAAGGTAGCATTTTCTTTTTAATTATTCTGAGCAAACAATAAGCGAATTCCTAATCTTGGTTGCACTGTGATTTGCAGATCTAGGTGATGATGCGACTATAGAACGAATCGGGACTCCCGAGAAGGTGATAAATGCTTTTGGACCAGAAATAATTGGGGAAAATGTTGAAGGAAAAGTCGTAAGTTCTGAAGTATCAGAGCACTCGGGTAGGAAATATTACCAGTTTGAGTTAGAGCCGCCACACGTACTAATAACAGCAACAGCAGCAGGCAATCGCCTCTACTTGTTCAATGTTACTGGAAACGGTAAAATTCATTACTGCGCTTGCTTGCAATCCTGAGAGAGAAAAATTGAACTATTCAACTTTTTTTTTTTTTTTAATTTTTTTATATATATTTTAATTGGTTATGTTTGATTTTTACAGGTCTTCAGTGGAAGAAGCACTACAAGGACCTCAAGAAGATAGCCGACTCTTTCCGGGTCATCTAAGACACCACCAACTACAATATGTTAAGCTTGAGAACAGATTTGAGCTTTGTATCTAACAATGTATTCTCATTAAATTTTTGTGATGCTGTATAGTACAAGAGAGATCTTTCCCCAAAATACATTTTTTCACCTCGCTTCCAGAAGCTCTTGCATTTGATATCTAATGATTTGAACATGTGAGCCTCAAGGGTTCAAAACAAGATTCAATTATGTTTCTCTTTTATTTGATAACCCTTCTCAAATAACAAGTGCACTATGTCCCGGTGTTTTCTCAGCCCCCGTAGAATGAAATACGACACGAGCCCCTTCTGACATTGCCCATCTTTCGGACTCTGCATACATGCCAGACAACAGCACATAATGCTTATCATTAGCCAAACCATTTCTTATCTTCAACTTGCCTACCAATTCCATCACGTTCGCTGCCATAGTTGCATCCGAATATATCCGACATGCACCAAGCATTGCCCCAAGAACTTTATCATTTGGGGTCATTGGCATCCCCTTGATGACCTCAAAAGCATCCTGAAGTCTACCAGCTCGGCCCAAAAGATCGACCAGACAACCATAATGCTTTATGTTTGGTCTCAAACCATATATCTTCATCTTGGAGAAAGATTCCAAGCCCACATCCACAAAACCTCCGTGCGCACAAGCCGATAAAACGGAGAGAAAAGTCACAGAGTCGGGTTTTTCACCCGAGCCCTCCATTGTCCTAAAAATTTCAACCGCCTCCCGACTTCTCCCGTGAATGGCAAATCCTGTGATCAAACTATTCCAAGTTGATGCATTTCTCCTTTGTGCCTCATCAAAGATTGATCTCGCGTTCTCTAAGTCCCCGCATTTTGCGTACATGTCAACCAATCCATTCAAAACGAACTCGTTCAACTCAATCCTATTTTCGTAAATAATTCCGTGAATCTCTCTCCCAATATCCAATCTTCCCGACTGAGCACAAGCAGACAAAACACTCGCCAATGTGACCTCGTTCGGCTTGAACCCTTCTTCCCGCATTTTCCGAAAAGCATCAAAAACCTCCTCACACATCCCGTTCTGCGCGTAACCTGAAATCAACGAGTTCCAAACCACCACATTCCATGACCCTGCATCGTCAAAAACCTGCCGAGCCTTTACAAAGGCTCCTGCCCTGAAATACCCCATGATCAAAACAGACCACACGTAGAAATTCCTCTTGGGCATTTTCTCAAACACCTCCCGGGCAGCCTCCATCTCCCCGTTAGCAGCATACCCACTGACCATCACCGTCCACGTTACCACGCTCCTCATGTCCTCCGGCACGCACTCGAAAACCCTCCGGGCGGCCGCTGTGTCCCCGCTCCTCGCCAGCCCGCCTATCATCTCGTGCCACGTGACGGATGTCTTCCCGGGCATGTTCTCGAACAGAACGGAAGCAAGGCTGGTGTGGCCGTTGCGCATGTAGGAGCCAATCATGGCGTTCCAGGAGGCCGCGCTCCTCTGAGGCATATGGTCGAAAAGGTGGCGCGAGCTGGAGATGTCGCCGCACTTGCCGTACATGTCAACCAAGGCGGTCCCCACCATGATGTCGCTCTCGGATCCGGACTTCAGAACCTCAGCGTGCAGGGATCGGCCGAGTTCGAGCCGCAAGAGGCACGCGCAGGCCTTGAGGACCGACGGCATCGCGGCGATGGCTGCACCGGCGGCTGCCCGGCCGCGGATGTAGATCGAGATGGCTTGTTTGGGCTTTTTCTGGTAGATGCAGCTTTGTATGGAGTGGAGCCAGCTTGGAGGTGGGGTTCCGGCGGCGTTCGTGTGGGTTTTGGTGGGTTGTTGTGCGGTGGCGGTGGCTTTCATGTCAGCTCCGACTCATTTGTGACGGCGGGTTAAACTTTATATGAATGAATTCATATGGAAAGTGTGGGCCGGGTAAATATTATTTGTTAATTTTTGAATTAATGACACCCTCCTCTATATATTTAAACATTTTACATAAATATACCCTCTTATTATTTAGACAAAATTACTCTTTTCTTTTACAGATATGTCTTTTACATGGATCCATGTATCCTTTTTTTTGGCAGTTTTTTATTTATTTTTAATTTTGTTTTGACAGTTTTCTAGGTTCACGGTTATTTTTTTTAGTGACCTATATTATTTCTTGTATTTATCTTTTCACAACCCTACCCCTTTCTGTATCTCTTATTTATTTGGAATCTCAATACATCCTCGTGTCCTCTTTTGGAGGTGACCCATTTCAAAGAGGGTTATGAAATACAAACTGACGATGAGGGCCACGCGAAAGGGCTAATTGCCGAAAAGGAAGAGGGCCGACGAGTGGCCTTAAAACCGAGTTTGAGGTGGGCGAAGAATTGTGCTTATACTAAGCCGACCCGAACTTCGTGTCAGTCCGAATTCGGGGGAAAATTAAGCGGGTGGAGGAGATGCGCCAATTTGAATGTGAAATTGTCGAACAATGGCTTCTGGGGCAGAAAGATTGAGTTTTTATGGTAGAATGTAAGTTTTAATTTTTAATGTATGTAATTGATATTGCGCATAACGTATTTCATATTTGATTTGAGAGGAACTTACGGTGATTGTGATACATTTACGATCTTAAAGTGTTTTTGTTCTCATTTTATTAACACAAAAAAAGAGAGCCTTTTTTTAAGTGTTGGGTTGATGGATAATGTGAATTATGAAGTGGTGATACAAATCCTGTCAATGTTAAATTTCAAGTTGCATTTATTACATTGTTTGCATCACTGTAAAATATTTTGATTCTGAATTGTTATGTAGTAACAGTTTATAAATATCTCAAATGGGCTTTTCATTCTGAATTGTTACACAGGAACAATTGTTTTTATGTTTCTTAGATATTGTTTTCTTGTTAATTAACTGTTATTATGTTATTTCTTTGGTGTTACATCGAAGATTTTTTATTTCTTCGTATTCATCTAATTTCTTGAATGAATATAATTTGTATATATGCATTCTATTTTATAACTATTATTGTTATTGTTAACTTAATTTTGCAAATTTTTGCTGCTTTTTATTTAATTTAATTATTACGTATGTATGTATATATATATATATATATATATATATATATATATATATATATATATATATATATATATATATATATATATATATATATATATATATATATATATATATATATATATATATATATATATATATATATATATATATATATATATATATATATATATATATATATATATATATATATATATATATATATATATATATATATATATATATATATATATATATATATATATATATATATATATATATATATATATATATATATATATATATATATATATATATATATATATATATATATATATATATATATATATATATATATATATATATATATATATATATATATATATATATATATATATATATATATATATATATATATATATATATATATATATATATATATATATATATATATATATAATCAATTGCTTTTAAGTTTAGACATTTATGTTTGAGGAAGAGAAGAAGAAGAAGAAGAGCAGTTACAAGAATCGGAGTAGTTTTGGAATTGTAGAGAGTGTGTATTTCTTATGGAATGTTTTTTTAATAGAGAGTTAGTTATGTATTTTTCCCTTAATTTTTTGTTTAGGGGTCCAAGTATTGCTGGGCCGTAATTTGTACATAAAAAAATGTGGGGTGGATTTACGATGGGGAGTTTACACTCCTGCTTTAATGAATTGTTTTTATTTGCATATATATCAATAATAAAACTTAATTGCACTTATACTTAATTTAATCAAATTATTTATATACGTATAATATAATTAGCAACAGATCAATTCATAATGACTTACCATAACAGATCCCCGTAACTGACGGGATTCATGCCTGGAGAGAGAAACATTTTTATGTCGGCATTTTTTATCCCACACTTTGTTTATGTCGGATATATACATTTTTATATCTATACAAAAAATATAAACAGTATATATACAAAAAATATACAGTATATATACCTGCAACTACACAAACAAAAAAAAAGTATAAATATACTACACATATAAAGCATATATATACAGAATATATACAGAAAATATACATAGTTGTCGAGTTTGGCCACAACAATAGATCTGTTTATAAAAACAGAAAACTCCAAAAACTACCAATCCACGCACCCGCCGTCTCCACTATCGACCGCCGAAAGTCGTTGTACGGTCTCAGATATTACGTCAGCAACGCATGAAATCTGGATCTAACACCAACTTCTACTACGGAGAATCGTCTGACGACGACCGGAAGGTGGAGAACAACGACGCCTCGTCCACCATCACCACGCTCGAGGGCCGGCGGTGATGAATAACTAGGCAAAGCCGCAGCCAAGACCTAGCCGGGCAGTCGCGACCGCCGGAAGGAGAAGGGGGGCGGTGCGGTCTNAATCTTTTGCTAAATTTAGCTAGAGGACTGCTTGATTAATTCTAGGGCAATCTTCTGCTAGATTTAGCTAGAGGATTGGTTGACTAATTCTAATTGTTGTCTAGTTGTATTTTGTGTTATTTTATCTATTTAATCTATCATTTCGAGAAAAAAAAAATAAAGGATATGAAAAGTTAAGAATTCAAAAAGTTAGATTTCTTCCAAAATTAGTTAACTGGAAATAACGAATAAAAATAAACAAAATCATTCATTTTTTATAAAAATAAAAACAAAATTACGCATATTTTTTTTGTCGAACGATAAATTTTCCATAGAAAATACATATATTACACACTAGAGAGCAGCTAGACAACCGAATAAGTTGGCTATTCATCCGAATCTAGTTGGAATGACTAACCCCAAAGGCAACATGTTGGGGTCGCCTAGATCCAACCTAAACACAACACAACAAACTCACCCACAATACAAGAAGAAAAAACTCCCAAAGGGAGAAAAACCTACTCCCAACAACAGAAGAATAACCGACTCCCAACAGGATAATCAATACCTAAACAAACCCAAAAATCAAAACACACAAAACACGAAAAACAGTAACACACAAAACCTACAAATAATAAGCTAAAACTAGAATAGACCCTTCCCTCATCCGGTCAAAAACCAAGTGCACCCGTCGGTAGCACCCACAATTGACCACCCCAATGGAACGGATCACGTCCCGAGAAACCGATCCAGAAACTGTCGAACCCGCCTAACTGGAACTGTTGCCCAAAGACCTAACCCCGCCCCGACGGCCAACCCCGGCTCCGAAACCAGAGGACCACCAACCCAAAGCCCCCCACTCCACCGTCGACCCAATCCCAGCCCACACCACGGACCAAGATTGTCAAAACGCCAGTCGACCACTTGACCCAAACACCGAGGGAAAAAAGGCACAAGGGATAAGGTTAGCCGGTCCTCCACCCCGACTGTTGCCACAGACGAGATGGTATGAGCCGCAGCCACCCCCGAAAAACACCATTGACCGCCAACACCACACCAGATGAGGACCAACCACCCCCGGACAACACCAGATGAACGGAGAACAACCACCAGGGCAGCCATCCTCTTCCAACACAGCAAAGGCGGACATCGACCCGAAATTCAGGGGAGTAGTCGCGCCATCCACAGCCGGCCACCGACGAGAGGACCCAGCGGCCTGCTGGGGAAGGCTCGGTAAAAGAAATTAGGGCAGATGAAAGGTTAAAATTGAAATGGGAGAAAGGGGATCTGGGAGAGGGTCGCGTAAATGGATCGACTTTCAAATTTGAAAATTAACTGCTTCAGCTTTTAAACAATTACGTATACATGATTAAAAAAGATGGATAAAATACTGAAGAACATCTTACATACACATATCACACAAATACATCTCTCGCAATCAAATTGACGAATAATTTGAATTTGGGATCGACAACCGACGCCGGCGGAGCGGCGGAGGTTTTCACCGACAGTTGATGATGAGGCAGTGAGTGGGGGCGATAAATTGTGAATGGCAATCGACTGGCATTTGATCTCCGGCGATTGCAAGTCCGACAGCATCCCGATGGGGAACAATGAAACGAGCATTAGCGATGTGGCAGTCTTCGATGGCGGTGGGTCGAGCACAACAGGCCGATTAAGGGGTTTTAAATCGGGGGCTCATTGTTAAAAAAATTTCAAGGGTGAGACTAACGAAGAGAGAAGCAACCTGAACAGTAGTGACCGCGCGTCGCAACCCGACAAATTAAAATTTATATTTTTCCTCAACTAACCTCTACTAACTAGTAGTAGTGGCGAGCAAGGGTCGATCCCACGAGGAGTGTGAAGTAAATTGTGATATTCTTGTATTAATTGAAATTATTATAAAAGCAATAAAAGAGAGGGGGATTGTGATTTAATAGCTAAACTAACTAAAATAAATAAAGTCTAAACAAATAAAATAAAAATAAAAATAAATAAATTAGAGAACGCTTATAGTTCACAGTTCCGTCTACATCCTCGATCGACTCGTCTAATCAATTTTCGTATCAAATCTCGTTATCTTATGGAATTACTAGCCCTAGGTAACGACACGGTCTGCTACCTGAATTTTTCCTTATGTTTAATTTAACCGCGAGACGCTCTACTATTAAACCTGACTTCTTGTACAGTCCAGAAAAACGTTTTCAAGATTTAATGCAATTAGCCGCTTTACGAATTAGAAAAATAGACTAGACTAAGTAGTGAACTCAACCGCGTCCGTTCACTTAAATAGGCCGTGTTATCCCCGGTAGTTACCATCTTCCGGTTGCTCTTATGAATTAAACCCAACAACAATTACAGGTTGCAGGTCTAATCCTAGGTATAGACATGAAAAGCCTAATCTTGGTGATCAATCTAACTAAGAGTCAAACACATCATGGTTGCTCAGTCAAAATAACACACACAATTCCAAAAAGATAACTT